TTTCACTTGTTTTGTATTATTCTTCTTTATTTGTTAATTTTTTTTTCTAATTTTCATCACCAATTATTAAAAAATAAAAAAATAAAAAAAATAAAAAATGATTGAAGCTATCTTAAGTACCAAAAGTAAATAATTTGAAGTTGATTAGAATTTTTTTAAATATTTGGAGATCTATTAGTTACAAAAAGATAAAGTGAGGCATATTTTTTAATATTTGAGAAAAAATTAATGGTTTAAAAAGGATAAATATATGTTGAAACTTCTTCATTGACTTTGAAGTTAGTAGCAAAGTGGTATCAATAGAGCTTTTTAGCATTTTTTCATTATTTTTAAATAAGATTGAATGAAATATTTTTCAGCATATAAAAAACTTATAGTAGCATTAGGATACAAAATATTTTACTATTTTTACAATTAAATTAAGAGTTATACCTTGTTAAAGATTGCTAATTAAGATTAAGATCTATAGGAAAAAAATTGAAGTTACAAAAGAATAAAAGTAACAAAGAAATTAAAGCTTATGCATCCTTTAGATTATTAAGAAGAATATTTTTTAGTATTTTTTATTAGTATTAAAATATTTTAAAATTAAAATTAGATTATATTATTCTTAAATAATCAAAATTTATTAAGATTTCTTGGTTAGTTGCAAAATATAATTTTATCTTTTAAAGTTAAGTGTCCACAATATTTTCTATTAAGACATGTAATAGAAAATTATTCTCTTTTTTAAACAACAAGTCATTCTTTTCTTTATCTAAAAGCTTAATTTTTTGAAGTTGCCATGATATCACTTATTTAATCTATTCTTTATTTTTTTTCAAGAGTAAACAACATCCTTGCTTTATACAAGAGATATAAGAATAAATAAATAAATAAAAGTAGTTTTTATTTGTGATAGTAGCCAGTCTCTATATAATATCTAATACTAATTTGGCACAATTTTATGTATTTGTGATTGTTATTTGTTTGGCCAACATTATGGTTTAAATTTTATTTATACAATTGGAGTGATTAGCATAGAAAATAAACATTAGAAATTCAAAACTCTTCCAATTTCTTAATTTGTGCATATTACTTAATTATATTCTTTTTTTTTCTATTATACAAATTGCATGAAAAAATTGCTATCATCTTGGTAGTTAACATCTCCCTTAAATGATAAATTATTGTCTTTCTTTTTTAAATAATAGATTTGCATCACCAAATGCATGTTCAATTTATTTGGTCAACATCAAATTGTATTCTTGATACTTATAGGAACTATCTAATTTAACAATTCCTAAACCATTAATTCATCCTTAAACCACTAAAGCAACTTTAGAAGGTACCTAAACCTTATGGTAATTAGATCTTTTTTGCAATTTCAGGCTCAATACCTCATCATGATGACTAAGAGGATAAAGCTTGCTATGCTTGGTCTTGATTATTGGCCTCTTTGCACTTTAGACCATGATTATTCTTTTGTTAATTCTTTTTTCATCCTTTAATTATTCTTCACCTATAAACACTCACTCCACGTAGTCACCTTCACTTATTAATTTTTCACTCTTTAATTGAAACTGAATATTCTATTATACAATTACTACTCAATCATTATTTTAATGCTTATAATGATGTCTATAATCATCAAGACCTTCCTCACTCTTTTATTTCCAACTCAATAGTGCTACTTTATCCATCATTGTTGATTAAAAAACATGTGTTTGAATTTGATAAGGACTACTTCAACCTTTCTTCAGAAGAAACAAATCATGCACAAGTTATAGTTTCTTTGGTTAATTTGGTCATTTATCACTCAAATTGCACTTCAATTCTTTTGATCTAGATTTAAATCCTCTAATTTTAATCAGTTAGTTTCTCATACAAAATTCGATTTCTTTTGGATTGGAAAAGAAATCTTCAAACTAATCCTATTTTGCAAGTTTTGGATGCCCAAGGTCATGACTTTAGCTTTGCATGATCTTTCTTTTATTTTTACTAAATATAATAAATACTTTAGAGTTATCTAATATTTTTTATAAAAACATTAAAAGTTATATTGTTGTAGTAACCTAATATTAACAGATAAGTATATTATTATTATTTCTATTTTTCCTACTATAACTTATCTAAAAAATACAAATTATAAAATTGGTATCTAATAACATTTTTTATAAATTAAAAATAGTTGGTTTTTAATTTTGATCAATTGTAGATGATCGAAGTTAATTGTTGATAAAAAACATATATATGTTTTTTTAAACATATTAAGTTACTTGTAAACATCAATTTAAAAAAAAGAGCTTTTTGATCAAAGAACAATAAAACATTAAATTTAAAGAATTTTAATACACTATTAATATAAAAAATGAAAATATTAATAAATTATATTTTAATTTATATGTTAATTAGATCATAATATTTTTATAAAAATTTCTAAATTTTTTTTTTAGGTAACTTATAGTACACTCACAAAAAAATAAATTGAAAAATGTACATTCAAATATACATATTTAAAAAGAATATTAAAAAGATTGATTGTGCTTAATGTTGAATAAGTTGGTTTAGAATTTTTTTTTCTTACAAAAGATCTATAATGTAGATGAATTTAAAATATAAATTAAAAACATCATGTAATTTAAAAATACAAATTTACATAGTCTAATAGCACTGTTTTTTTCTTTTCTTTTCTTTTCTTACATTGAGTAATGCAAGCACAAAGCTAGAAAGATCAACAAATGTCATTTGTATTTTCTTGGATACACCACAATCTAATTGACATTGTTAAAAGACAACACTACAATGCATCAAATTTTACTAATAAATTACTAAAATTTAACATGTAAATAAAAATATAAAGCAATATATAAATTATAAAGCAGAAAAAACAAAATAAATAATAATAATGTGTTCTTCTCCATTGCTACACATTATTTGTTTATGGTTATAAATTTAAAAGATTTTTCCACTTATTACTTCCTATTTTATCAATATATATATATATATATATATATATATATTCCAACTTCAAGTTTATTTACATAGTTTAGAATTTCAAGTTCTTGTTCTCAAAAGCCATGTATCAATATATCATCTCTGGTTATATTTCTCACAACTCATTATTTTATTTTAAAATCTTTTTTTGTTACTCTCTTTCTTTATTTATTTGTATTCTATTTATTATATGTTTGAATATAAGTTAGAAATTCATTAAAAATATTGATTTTCTGGAATCTTTTTATGTAGAGTCCTGTATTTGAAGATGTTGTATAATATAGGATGAGTGATAATCCTTTTCACATGAAAAATTTCATAAATCCACACATCTGTAAAGATTAATTACCTACAAGCTCTTATATCATCTCTAGAATATAAATTTAGTATTTTACTTACTGTTAGACAATGCCACTTATCGGCAACAAATTTTTGTACTTCACCCTCACACATTTGCATAAATAGAATTTTTTTCATATATTTGTTTAGAAATCTTTATGTTTCTTTATATTTTATAAATAGGATATATCTCATTTAGTAGATGAATGGTGACATATGTTTTACAACACTTATAATAATAATAATAATAATAATAACAACAACAAACATTATAATGTTGCCACAATTGGACTCATTCATAAAATCAAAAGAAATCCATGTAAACCACACCCACAATTATGCACACAAGATATTACTATCATCCTCCTTTTTCAAATAAGAATTGAACCATTGTGCTGTCACTTAATTATCTAAATTTGAGCTTTATTTTATTTTATTTTAATACTTATATTCACAATTATTCTGGTAAAAAATACTTCTAACATTTATAAATTACAATAAAATTAAGTGCACTTATAGAATCATAACTATGAGTGTTAGAATGCCGAGGAGAAGTGCACATCATTAGGATGTAGCACTAACAATTGCAAAGATTTCTAAAGTCTGTGCTACACTATATGTTCTAAGAGCTTGTTTTATTTGATATACATGGTGTGGCATATTCTAAGATGATTAAATATAATATTATAACTTTAATAGAAAATATTTGTAATGGAATCTAAAGAAGAAGAGAAAAAATATTATCAAGAAATTCAACCAAACTTTAAACTTTTCAACTAATTAATATTTATATATATATATTTATTGGTAAAGAAAGTGTATTTTAAAAGTTTTATTCCATATTACACAAACACTGTTTCTGATTGAAAGTGACTTTAAATTCCTCCAGAATATGGAAAACAATGAACTGGAGCAAGTCAGTCCACATGTACCGATACCATTACCATCATAACAAACAATAAACAAATCAGTCAATCAATCAATCTTGCCCTAAGACTGCAAATTAGTTTCCTTATTGACTTATTTATTTTTTCTCAGTTGGAAACCAACCTTAACTATACGAATTGACTTTGGGGGTCAATTCTCCGTTCTCAAGTCCAATCATTCATTGGGTTAAGGATAAAACCCACCCTCCTGTTTGACCCCAACTCTTCAAACAGAAGGAAATTGTCAGTGACGTCCCATTTGGAACCCCATTAGGCTGACTTGGACAAGACTTGCACCCACGACCCTTAGGGGGCTGACATGGCATCTGGGTGACGTGGAGAAGGTGAGCTGGCAATCGGGGGTGGGGACTGGCGTGAGGGGGAGCGACCTTGGGTCAGGTGCGGGAAAGAGAGCCAGTTGGAAAAGGCAAAGCAAGGCAGCCGCAGCGTCGGCGGGACCGAGGGCGGGGGGTGGGTCTTCCGCGCGCGTGGGTTGAGTGAAGGCAGGTCTTCAAGGCTTGGCGTGATTCCACCATAACTCCGTCGAGGTCAGTCAGCCTGTCTCCGATCCGCCTTCTCGGCTTGCAGCTCCGTCCCGGATGCGTGGTGCCGGTTAGCGTTCCCTTCGGCACCATTGTAGGCGATGAATCGTATTTGAGTTTCACTTCAATCCCACTTCACTAGCACCTCCACTGGGTTTTGGGTTCTGGGTTTGACGACAAATTGAATTTAACGGGCAGAATTCTCTTTAGGTTTCAATTCTGAACCAACTGTCTCTGCGCCTCCATCTCTTTCTCCGCTTGCGTCTGCTTCTCACGCGGAGGCCTAGATCGCATCCCCCCCAACTCCTCTGACGCTTCCGCTGCTGCATGCTCCCCTTTCGATCGCTATTCCAAATCCAAACTATTACTATTTTGGGGTTTTCATGTTCCGGCTGTCGCGCTCTCTCGCTCTCTTCCCTGAGTCCTGAGTCCTGAGTCCCCGAGTTCGCATTTTCCGTGCTACTCCGCACAGAGCAACGCTGCATTCTTTTTGCTCTGTGGCGTGTGTAGTGTGCGGTAATGGTGTGGAAGTTGTGTGCTGCACCGCTGACTCGTAGCCTTGACTCGTCCGGACTTGCCTCCAGCTCCAAATTGCAGAATAAATTTGCTATTCTTCGTGTGGATAGGAGGTGCCTTTTATAAGTGCCCGACATTGATTTATGCTCCCCGTACGTGCTGAGCTTAAATCCTATGCGCGTGTATCTTATTGTTACTTGGGTTATGGGTATGGTATTGGATTTGTGTCTTTAGATTGTGTGGCGAAATGGAGGGAGATTGGTGGGGTGGACGATCGGTTTCAGTGCAGACGTGGGTTGAGGCTTGGTATTTCGTATTCGAGGCGGAAACTTACCGTGGAGGTTGTGATTCGAGGGTTTTAGTTACCTCTGAGCCTGGTTTCAGAATTCACTGTGTGAGGGGTGTGTCATGGAGTTGCTCGCAAGGGATTGTCGCTGGGAGTTTGAAATTCTGGTCCTCGTTAGTTCGAGTAATCCTGTGCGTTGCTCCCTCCAACATTCACATACTGCCATGCAATGCTTGGGAGTGTGTCATGAGATGCTTGGGAGTGTGTCATGACAACTGTCATTCAACCCTCGACACTAAGTTCTCCTTTTACTGCATGGTATGTGGATGAAAGCAGGGTAGGTGAATTCTGCTTTTGAAGATTACTGAGAAGCGACACCGCCCTGCATGGTACGACGAGGGTTATGATGAGCGGGAGCTTCTGAGCGTTGCGGCTTGTCTATGTGACTGTCACTGGGAAAATGTAGCGGTTGATGTTCATGAAGTGCTGGTGTCGTGGTGGCCTGGAGACCTTTGATTCTGGTGGAGATTTAGGAGCTAATCTAGTTATTTGAGGAATATACGAGTGCTGATGGCGCTTGACGATGTTGTGATCAACTTGGGCTCGGATTATACTGATCCCTGGGGAGGGGAAGTACGTCTTTTATCTTGAACATTCTCTAGCTTGTTTTCGGGACTATTACGATTCGCTCTCTTCACGGATTTAATACATGGCTAGATTGGCAATGAAACCCCAGAATCTAAAGAGCAAACATGATGTGGAGGGAGATTGGATGATTCGGTTGTTTTCATTTCCTTTGACACCATTACTGTGAAAGGTCGATGTTTTTTTTATTTTATTTTTGGTAACAATTGACGTGTACGGTTCATATAACAAAACCAGGTCGAGCAGTTAAGCTAATACTTGTCCGTATTTCTCTTGTTTAGAGACGTGAAGTTGAGACAAGCCATGGACCGATTTCAGTTCTTGTGTGCGGAGACCAGTCAAAGCCCGCCCTTGTCACCTACCCTGATGTGGGCCTAAATTGTGAGTATATTTCTGCGAAATGCTCTCTTTGTTAAGTCACAACATTCTGCATGGTTGGGAAAAGTGATAAGATTTATTTTTTCGTTGTGTTTCTTCTGTGCGAGTCAGTCATGGTTTCTTAGATTATGACACTGATATCGATGTGGCAGACCTTGCATGCTTTGAAGGGTTATTCTCATTTCCTGAGGCGACTTCTGTTCTCTACCATAATTTCTGCATTTATCACGTTGACCCACCCGGTCATCAGGTTGGTTTATCTCTCATCATCACATGTAGGCTCAATAGATTTCCGCGTCGTCATGGTGTCCGTTCCGTTGATGCGTAGAATTAGGAACTCTTAGCCTTTTTTAGATTGCGGATGTAAGGTCAATCGTTTATCTTCAAGTTTAGGACTATGTTGGTTACTTTGCTTCCATGGTCATGTTCAAAGTGGCATTGTACATGCAGGATGGCGCAGCTGAGATCCCCGCTGATCTACCCTTGCTGTCCATGGAAGACTTAGCAGACCAAGTCGCAGAAGTCTTGGATCATTTTGGGTATGCACTAGCAGCTTTGATTTTATTTGCGTCTCTGTGGTATGCTGCATGAGACGATCTCGAATGGGTACTTCGTCTGTTAGAACATGTCCTTGACTCGGCATGACCGTAGGTTTATTGGTCAATCACGTCCCATACTTTTTTGTCATATCTACCTTGGACGTAACATTTGTCATGATTCATGTGCAGGGTGCATGAAATGATTGGTTTGGGTGTGGGTGCTGGATCATACATACTGAACCTTTTTGCGGTATGCGAAATTCTTCATTGTTCAGACGTATTTTATGCATTTTTGCTGCCATGTTGCCTATTCGATTTTATCATTAAAATTGCCTAGATGTTGATCATATTATTCTGTTTCGCAGATTAAGTATCGAGAGCGTGCCATAGGACTCATTTTGGTTTCACCAATTTGTCGAAAGCCCTCATGGTCGGAATGGCTCTATAATAAGGTAGATTTCGCTGTTGCGCGTATTTTATCGAGATATTTTGCCGACGGAATTCGATTTCATAAGTTACAAACGTGTCTAGAACTTTCTCAAAACTAAGTCCGTCAAAGTTGTTTTCTTACGTGTGCACATCGGTATCTGTAGGCGATGATAAATATTTTGTATTATTGTGGAGCTACGAATTTTGTCAAGGATTCTCTTCTGCAACGGTACTTCAGTCAAGAAGTGCGAGCTTCACCTGTGGGAGCTGAGGTTCTCGATAATTATCGCAAAGTACGATTGCCCTTCTCACGTAACTTTAAGCCATTTTATTACTTGTGTTTTTCATTCCGCCTACAAAAGTGTAAACGGATTTTTTCATGTTTCGAAAAGCCCTTTATAGTACCAATGACAACTCATCTTCCTGTTGCAAAAAAAGTCATATGCTTTTGACTGCCAATTTTCTACAGCTGATTATTTTCCTCTCATTAATGCAATATTAATTGACTTCTTATTTGCAGCATTTCGGTGATCACCCAAGTCGCAATATCATGCGGTACATGCAATCTATTCACCAGTAAGTTTCTTCCCTGCACCACGTGCGCTCAAGTGGCAGCCGCATGCAATTTGTATAAACTGATGCAACTTGTGTACGTCTGAGTGCAGAAGAGCCGATATTACTGAAAATCTGCGAAAGCTCAAATGCCGCACTCTGGTAATCGTAGGTGAAAACTCTCCGTTCCACAGTGAAGCTCTTCACATGAGTACTGTGATGAGACCACGATACCAAGCCTTAATCGAGGTAAACCTTTTTTTTCTGTGATTCTGCATGAATTTCACATCAATGCCTCATTTTTGACCGAATTGACCCGCTTTTTAACCGTCTTAAACTAATCCATTTTAATTTTAATTTTATTTTTGAATGCAAGAAGAGAATCCCAATCCTTATTTGTAAAATAAATCCTTTTGTTTTGCACAGGTACAAGCATGTGGATCCTTGGTAACTGAGGAACAACCCCAATCAATGATAGTCCCAATCGAACTATTCCTGATGTTCTATACTTTTTACAAGCGTCCGGTATCGCTCTCCTCACCGAAAAGTTCGCTCAGTCCGCCCTGCGTATCTCCGGAGCTGCTCTCATCCGAGAGCATGGGTCTGAAACTGAAGCCGATCAAGACTCGCGTCTCTCGGTGAGGATGGAAGAGTACATGTCCAACTGAAAAATGCATTTGTTCAATGCAAGGTTCCATTTACATATCCATACTTTGGCCTCCAACCCGTGACCAGGTTCGTGATCTCCCTTGCTGTAAGGGGAGACTCACGCCAGCACTAACTGGCCTCATGTCAACCACATCATTTTTTGAATAAAGAGGGTCCTGTACCATATTATCTCATTTGTTTATATTTTCTTGTCCGTCTATTCCAGATAGTTCTCATGCTCGTGTGTTTCCTGTTTTGGTACTTTGAGCTCTACCTGTTGTATTTTCTACTTCAAAGGGACCAGGCAAGGCATTAATTCTATTGGATCCTTCACTATCAGTCGTCCCATTTCTTGTTGATACTGTTGCGCTGTCCGTTGCCGCCGATGGCTCCTGCGGCGCAGAATCCACTATTAGTGGCGGCACCCTGCGTCTCCACGCCGCTGGTCAGTTCGCCGCAGCTAGCCGCTTGTCTATGACGTCACTAGCCTATCTCCTGTGGCGTCAACGTGTGACGTCACTCGCGATTAGTAACCAGGTGTCACGAATAGTAATCTGAATGTTTGTTTTGTCCGACATATTGCGGTGTTGGTCAAGATATTTTTAGCATAATCTTTGGAGTTTTTTGCCAAATTTTTCAAGAATCGATTTTCTACTTTAAATTCAATATTCGTGGTTTCTTTACATCTTCATTTTAAAAACAAATGCCCTGGAATCATTCTTTTATTTACGTGAATCTTGAAAGCTAATTGAACCTGCTCGAGTTAAATAAGATATATATGGGAATGTTAAAGCGACCCAGACTTTTTCTAAATGGACCCATCTGTCTAAACCATCATTGCACTCTTGTCCCCGACCGCCCGAATCCTTTCTCTTGGAATTGGCCGCTGCCAATGTGCGTGGCCGTGTGGCGGCCTCAAGGACGTGAATTCACCACCTCCTCGCCCCATTCTAGCATCGACGCGCTGGTTGCAAGATGCGTGAAGAGAGGCGGGCCAGTAGCCGACTAAGCGATCTTCCCCGAATTGCATCCACGAGTTTCCTCTGCTGGGGTCCTGCAAGAACATTCACAGACGCTGTTTTAGCTCCAAGGTCATGGCGGGCTTTGTCATTCACCCTACAGCATTCACCCTAGCAGCTAAAGAATTCTTAGGAAACGCCGCTGGCGAGGCCTGTCACATCACACACACACGATAACCGTAAGCTCCTTCTCATCCTTGAAGAATCGAGCTGCTTGCGGGATATTGCCCAGTTCTACGGAGATAATGGCCGTCTGGTTCATCAGTAATCCTATCAGAGGGGAGTTTTCCAAAGTCCCGGCCTTCATTTTCGCTAAAGCACTTTGAAACGATTCCAAGCAAGGCTTGAACTGGTGCAGTATGTTCTGAAGGATCCCGATTTCGACTCCTAGTCCTGCAACTGTGGCTTGCTGACCTGCTCATGGTCACAAACAAAGAAGACGATTTAGCCACTATTGGGCATCGTTGTATGGCACAATGCAGAGCATCTCGTATAACAATGAGAGGGTTAAAGAGAACACAATCGAGGGGGATTTAGAACCTGGCATTTTGTCTTGGATGTTGTACGCACCCTGAAGGAGAATAACCGCTGTTTCTTTCTCGTTCAGCTACTCAAGAATGCTTGCGATGTTCACCAACCCATAAGCCACATCGTCAGGAGTGTGGCCCACTCCTTGTTTAGAAAGGATTTGAAGAGCGAGCTGGCAGTGGACCTTCCCTTCTTTAGGATTATTAGTCTGCATGTACAGATCCTTGAGGCATGTGTAAGTTGATACCACAAGGGCGTTCTGATCGCCTTGCAACGTTAATCAGATAATGAGTTTCTCCAGCGCGTGGGTGTGTATTGCACAGAACTTGAGATGGGCGAGAAAGCACCTCGTGTTCAAATTTCAAGAAGATGTCATTTGCACAGACGAGTGGTTCCAAGGCTTTATTGTGCTCTCCCTGCGCCCTGCGGATGATCGCCAAGAGGCAGTGGTCAGCGGCTACCTCCACTGCTCCTCGCTCACAGTGCGTTCCCCGAGAAAGGATTCGGGGGTCGAGACGGGGGAAGGGGTTGAGAACGGGGACGGATTCTGGGAACGGGGGGGAAACGGAGGGGAGCGGGGATGGGATCTGGGAACGGGGGAACGCGGACGACAGTCCAACGATGGTTTAGACAGATGGGTCCATTTTGTAAAAGTCTGGTTTGCTTTAACATTCCCCTGTATGTTTATATGCGTGTGTTAAAAACGAGACCATGCCTTCACGTCTGCATAATTCAAAATATTTAAAAATCATTAAATAAATGTTTAAAAATTTTCACAATTCTTGAAAGTCAAAATTAAAAGCATAAATTAATGATTCCAAAAAACTACAACATAATGTTCAATTTTTCGTAAAACATGGTTACATAATTCTGCTATTGTAAAATAAATTGGCAACTATACAAAAGTAACAAGGTTGTTGAATTTTTCACTGTAATATGTATGAATATATATATATATATATATAGACATATTGATACCAAGTTTACAAATATATGTGTGATTTTAGTATACAAAAGTATACATATATATATGTGTGTGTGTGTATGTTTTCGACATATTCTGTCAACACACCTAAAACGTGTTTGATTTTTGATTTTTTAATTGCTTTAACATTGTGTTCATCCATGATAAAGTTATTACTCATCCAATATCATAAACTATTCATCCACTACAACAAACGTCTTGCTAACCAACGTTCTCATGTGGGAACGATTGAACAGAACTACACATCCACTGTGCGGATAAGCGAGTAACTCGTTGGAGTGCTGATTGAAGAACTAGACTTCGCATTAGGCTTGTTAAATAAACCTGATGCAAGAACACCGTTGTACAGAATGAAATGAAAGAAAATTGGTGCCATGAATGTGAACATGAATCCCCTGGTCTTGCAGTTAATATCTCCTTGGTAACTGTTGAGATCATTAAATGTAGCCGATGCTCTCCATAATATTTACTGTAGACTACAGTAATTACTGTAGCTACAGTATTTAGAGTCTAATGGAGAAGTACTGTTCATCCTCTTATCTTCTCTCTTCTTGTGTACAAGACACAACCAGATCAATAGATTTTTGTGTGTGTGAAGCTCTCTCTCCTTAAAAAAAAAAAAAAAAAAAAAAAAAAAATTATATATTTTAGTTTTTTCAAGTTCAAGTTTATTATTTTATTTAACTTTATATTTTAAGGTACGTTTTACTCAACTTTTCTACTTGATCTTGTATTTTCTTTACAGATTTATTTATAATGAGTGCTTCAACATCTTCAATTGCTTCTACTATGGTTCCTACTATTACTAGTGCATCCCAACATTTTCAAGCTCTTTTATTTCCACCATTGACTGTGGATGGAAACAATTATCTATTATGGGCAAAAATGACAAAAGCAAATTTATTTGCAGAACAACTCTCGGATGCCATTATATTTAAAGAATCTCCTACAATAAGTAATTCTATATCTCCTACTATTCGTTGGAAAGCACTTCTTCTCTTTCGTCGTCATCTTGTACCCGCATTACAACATCAATATTTAAAAATGGAAGACCCTGCAGAACTTTGGAAGAATCTTAAATCTAGGTTTGATCATCAAAAGACCAATTTTCTTCCACGTGCACGTCATAATTAGACACATTTACGTGTCTTGGATTTTCCAAATTTAAATGCTTTCAATAGTGAAATGTATAGTATTGTCTTACAATTACGATTATGTGGACAAAGTATTTCTGAAGAAGAAATGATTGAAAAAACTCTCTCTATATTTCCTCTTACATCTGTTGTGCTTGCACAACAATACAGGAACATGAAATTTTAGAGTCATTCTGATCTCATGTCCTATCTACTTCTTGCAGAGAAGTAAAATGAGCTACTCTTATACAATGCGGAAGCTCATCCTATTGGAACTACAATTCCTGAATCTCATGCACTTAATATTTCAAAGTCTAAGAAGAAATTATATAAACATGGGAAACATGCTCATAAGTATCAAGGTAGTCATAGTCAAGACCATTTCTATCCATATGGAAAGAATAAACGTTCTACTATTAATTATAGTAGAAAATAAAAATCAAAGATGCGTTCTTGCCATAAGTGTGGAATGTTTGGACATTTAGCACATGCGTGCCGTACTTCAGAATACTTTATTAAAATGTTCCAAGAAAATAAGAAATTACGAGTTGAGGCTCGTGAAGTTCATACCATGGATGCATCCATGGATTCAATTGGTGTTGATGACTTAGAGGCTTATATGACTGATAGAACCTCTAATGATGAATCAAATGATGCGCTCATTGATTTTGCAACAATACATATTATCTTGTGAGATAGATGATTTTTTATTAAAAAATCTTCAACTTGGCAAACTAAAAATATGATGACTATGGCTGGAGCAAATGCGTTTTTTTTCCAAGAGGGCACAGCGATGGTAAAATTACCTGCAGGTTCCATCATAAAATGTAAACATGCGATGTTTGCACCCTCAGCATCTCAGAGTCTAATCAACTACCGAGATGTGCGTATTAATGGTTATCACCTCTCGATCGCCACTTTAAATAGAAAAGAAGTTTTAGTTCTTACGAAGAATCATAAAGTTATTGAAAAAGCTTTTGTCATAGAAAATGGTTTTTACTGAATTGTGATTCGACCTCCCATTATATTTAATTTTGCATCATCTATCTCAGAGAGTCATGTTTCTCTCTGGCATGGACGATTGGGACATCCAGGATCTACATTATTTAGAAAGATCATTCCATGTATAACTGGGCACAATTTAAAGCCTATAGATGTAGACTCTATGGAATTATGTCGTGCATGCGTGCAAGGTAAAATGATTACTCGACTTTCAATTTGGAAACTTCCACAAGAATTACCACCAATGCTTGAAAGATTGCATGGTGATATTTGTGGTCCTATTAATCCATTATCATGACCATTTCGTTATTTTTTGGTCTTTGTTGATGCATTAGGTAAAAAATCACATGTTTCATTATTATCAACTCGAAACATGGTGTTTGCCAATCTTATATCTATACTTATTCGCTTTCGGGCACATTTTCCTGATTATCCTATAAAAACATTGCGTATGGATAATGCAAAAGAATTTGCATCAAAGTCTTTTGAAGACTATTGTACTGCAACAGGAATCGAGTTGACATATTGTGTTCCACATGAACATGCTCAAAATGGACTTGCAGAGTCATTTATAAAGCATATACAACTCATTACGCGGCCACTCCTCCTTCACACAAATCTACCTACATCTATGTGGGATCATGCAATTTTACATGCTACAGCATTAGTACGTCTTCGCCCTTCTTCTCTTAAAATTGTTTCACCACATGAACTCATTTCGGGTCGTATTTCAAATATATCTCACTTACGAGTATTTGGTTGCCGTGCTTGGATTCCAGTACCAGAACCTCAACGGCGTACCATTGGAGCTCATCAAGCATTATTCGACAAGAAGGCATATATGTTGGTTTTGATTCACCAAGCATTATTCGTATTGTTGATCCATCAACTGGCACATTATTACATGCACGTTTACAAAATTGCCGTTTTGAAGAAACTGTATTCTCATCTCTTCAAGGAGGAGTATCCAATCAACAAAGAAATAAAATACTCATATTTGAAGCACCAGAAACGTTTACAATGAATCCTGATCCTAGGACATCTTTGGCAGAAACTGAAGTTGCTAAGATTTTGCATTTAAAACGGATCGCGGATAAAACACTTGATGGCTTCAATGATGCACCTAGAATTACAAGAGTTCCTATTAATGAGGCTCAGAATGCACCTGCTCAGATTGCAATGCCATTGACTACAATACCTCAAGTTATAACAACAACAACTAAAAGAACTCGTGGACCAGATAAGCAACCACGTAAGAAGAAAGCCATAAAATTAACTAATCTTGGTATTATTTCTCAAGAAATTGCCACTCATCTTGCAGGACTACCAATTCATGATGATATATCCATGCATAATGTACCTTCAATTCCTATGAAAAATAATCTTGGAATTGGAAGGAATAAGAACAAATTGAGTAAAAAGTTATCTATTCTTTATTGTGCTACAGATGATATTTGGGACAAACCATCTGTTACGGTAGATGAATCATTTGCATATATGATTATAGAAGCCCTTTCTTGCGAGGAAGACAATCTTGAACCTCAAACCATCGAAGAGGTGATGTATCGCTCTGATTGGTCAAAATAAAAAACTGCTATTGAAGAAGAGTATGCCTCTTTGCATAAGAAGAAAGTCTTTGGTTCAATTGTAGACACTCTTACATCTCGCCCTGTGGGATATAAAATGGTATTAATACGCAAGTGAGATGCTCAAGGCCAAATAACCCGCTATAAAGCTCATCTTGTTGCTCAAGGATTTACTCAATGATTTGGCATTGATTATGAATCCACATATTCTCTAGTCATAGATTCAATTACATTTCGATATATTATTGGAATGACAGTTCATGCCACCATTGAAATGCATCTAATGGATGTAGTTACTGCATATCTATATGGTTCTCTTGATGCAAATATTTATATGAAAGTTCCACCTGGCTTAAAAACAGGAACTCCAAATCAACCCGCTTCAGGAAAATATCGTGGTATTAAATTATGTAAGGCCTTGTATGGTTTAAAATAATCCGGACGAATGTGGTATCAACGTCTTTGAGATTATTTAATTAAAAATAATTTTATAAGTAATCCACTAATCCCTTGTTTATTTATCAAACGAGATAAAAACTGATTTTGTGATCATCGTTGTATATGTTGATGATCTTAACCTAGTGGGCACTACATCTGCATGTGTTATAACTACAAACCTACTTATATGTGAATTTGAGATGAAAATGCTAGGAAAAACAACTTTCTGCATTGGTCTTCAGATTATGCATCTTATAGATGGTAGCATTTTTCTCTACCAACTAACATATATTAGACGAATTTTGCAAAGATTTAATATGAATGATGCTTATCCATTGTCCACACCAATGGTTGGACGTGGTCATGATGGTCATGATCCATATCGTCCATGCAAGGAGGAGGAGGAAATATTGGGAGACCAATATCCATACCTCGCAACGGTTCGAGCACTTTCGTATTTAGCTACATCTATAAGACCAGATATTGGATTTGCAATTAGTGTTCTTGCAAGACATAGTGCACATCCAACACTACGACATTAGAATGGCATCAAAAATTTATTACGTTATTTAAAAGGTACTGAAGACTTGGGATTATATTACACAAAATCTGCAGATCCAAAATTGGTTGGATATTGTGATGCAGGATATAAATCTGATATTGCAACAGCTAAATCTCAAACATGATATGTATTTTTAAGACATGGAGCTGCAATATCATGGAAATCAATGAAACAAACAATAACTACAACTTCATCCATCCATGCAGAAATTATTGCCTTACATGAAGCATCTCGAGAATGTATTTGGTTGCGATCAATTGATAAATTCATTCAAACAACCTGTGGATTTTCATATGATGATTCTCCAACTATCTTGCATGAAGATAATAGTGCTTGTATTGCACAAATGCAAGTTGGTTTCATTAAAGGCGACAGGACAAACCATATTGATCCAAAGTATTTTAGTTATACTCATGACTTGATTATTGATCAAGCACTTATAATTAAGAAAATTGAATCTACAAATAACCTTGTTGATCTCTTCACCAAAGCTCTCCCATTAAGCAATCATCGTCGACTTACTTATGGCATTGGTATGCGGCGACTTCCTTTTCTTGAATAAGAAAGTTAGTGAGCTCTTTAAATAATTAAAGAAAATGATGTTGTACTCTTTTTCCTTCATCTATGGTTTTGTCCTTAAATAAAATAAGGTTTTCCTAGATAAGTTTTTAATGAGGCAACAATTCTTGATCTTACAAGATCACAGAAAAGTATAGATCATAAATCTATATAAATTTTATATTATGTAAATATTATGATGAGCAAGGAGGAGTGTTGAGATCATTAAATGTAGCCGACACTCTCCATAATATTTACTGTAGACTACAGTAATTACTGTTGCTACAATATTTAGAGTCTAGTGGAGAAGTACTGTTCATCCTCTTATCTCCTCTCTTCTTGTGTATGAGACACAACCAGATCAATAGATTTTTGTGTGTGTGAAGCTCTCTCTCCTTAGAAACCCTCTTGTGTGTATGACTTACTATTACTCTTGTGTCTTTCTAAACATTCTCAACAGTAACGAACTCAAAAGCTCAAGGCTGTTCAACTGTGACAAACATAACATATCCCTCACAAGCTTGAATTTTCTAACCCTGAAATTCTCTGTAACAATTGTAGTGTGACAAGGTAAATTGAATTATATGGGTATAGTAGTTTGTGAACCATCGCAAAAATTCAAAATTTTCTCGTGACAAGAGATGAAGCTGCTCTTCAATTTCCTTAGTAATCCTGAACTGTCGGTGATTTAATCCCAAAGGCTAAAAGCGTGTGAAAGGTTCGATTTATTTAGTTTGATGCTGAAAGTAGTCCTTCATGTATCACCTAACATTCTCTTGCGGTACGTGATCTGCACAGATTGACCTTTTTATGCAGCTGACAAAATTGGTTCTGCAGAATGTTCTGATATGAAATCACAGGCATGGCAGGAGACAATTATTTACATGTCCTAACGCCTACACTATAGAAGGCTCCAGCTGGAATCAAAATGTGATCTCGCTATTCGCTACCGACTGCATCCTTATCAGGTGTGTTGTGATCTCTTCCCATGTCGCTCTCACCACAATCAATCTCCACAGGCTTCAACTGGTTCAGCACATCAGCAGAGAAAACGATGCGCCCCTGCTTATTCGTCAAAATTTGATCCTCATATTGCCGGTCCCAAATCACGTCTCCATCAGCAACGGCATACAAATTCTCGCTGAATACGGGTTGCATGGACGATCGCTCCGTCCCTGTCACGGTGACGGTGAACGAGGCGTCTCTCATTTTGAACGTCTTGTAAAGGAGCACCCCCACCCACACCCAAAGATTATTTTTCCTTCATCAATCAAACCTCGTGAGCATAGAGTAAATGATTCCTCAAATACAAGGTAACACATGAGGAGATTAGCCATGTACCTCAAAATCCATTCCATACAGTGGACTGGACTCATCGATGACGTGCCTGATGATGAGGCCAAATCTGAGGTATGAAACTTCTGGGCGAACCAGCTGGAGGGACACTTGGTGGATGAACGGCGAGGCTTCGCCAGCCGGGGTCAGTATGCAACGATAGATGATCTCAAATTTGCATTCTATGAGCACCATCTTGGCGGGATCTGCTAGGTTTACTCGAACGATGAAGGACCTGTAAACCAGAGGCGTTAAAAAACCAGATGGCATAGGGTTAACAGTTAGCATTTACGGGCTGCATTTTCCGACGATGCCGTTTATAGCAGACGAATTAACCGCGTAATAACAAAATGTCAGTAAAACTTTCGAGTAGGTAAAAGATACAATCTCAAACCAAGTCATGAATCGATCACGAACTTGATGAGGCTTACTTGTGTGGCCTCTCTCCAGTTGGAGATAGTTTGCTGGCATGCTCTGTGAATTTGTCGTTGGTGATGAGCGCCGTTTTGGCCCACCGAACTGGTACAGCTGGCTGAGATAACCTATGGAATACTGCAAAATGCAATGACTTCGTTTAATTGAAATCACCAGTTAATACAAATTCTCCTTCAAGTCGTACTGAACCATTGCTCTCGATATCCATAGACCTGTTCTCAGGCTACAGGTTAGGATACAGAAAATCGTCAATCGAAGCATGCAACCTTAAACAGGACCCACCTTCCGTTCTTCTTTAGGCAGGTAATCATTACATGATATCTCAAAATCGAGAGTACAACCATGTTTAAACTTGCTGCTAAAACCGATCACAAAACTTGGCAAATTTCAGGCACGAGAAAAAATCGAGGGCACACCTGCTCCACTGAGAAAGACAAAAGTAAGCTGAGCCGTGAGGGTGTTCAAGTTCGCCAGAAGGAGATTGTAAGGCGAGCGCGCTTCCACGCCCGTCCCTCCAAAAGTTGTGCACAAGGAAAGACTAAAGATGAAAACCTTGAACTGTTTTTCACCGGAAAATTTGTAGAGGTAGCTCCACCAGTACTGTCGACCCCAATCTTGGTCTTCGGGGATAACTAAACCATCCACGTCCAACAAATAGAATGCCGTAAAGATAACGCTCAAAATTAAAGGGGTTGAGAACATGATGAGAAAGAAGACTGTTAGGGGTAAGCGCAGCGTGTAGATGTAGAAATTGTAGAGTCGCACCAGTAAACCATCATCATGTTCCACCTGCAAAACCATTTGAGACGCCCATCAGCACATCACCGCCCTAATCCAAATCAACATGCCCTTCGGTGAAATATCCTTGCCCTATAACCTTGCTCGTCCTTCCCTCGACGCACTGTGGCACCACTCAAAGTAACCATTCAATTATTTCTCCAAGGGAAACATTCAAATGCCAACCATACAACCAAAACCATCAATTCTCGCAACTAATGCATGACCCAAATAAGAATGAAAAGCAGACAACCACTCTCCCCCCTCTTCCCGGCACATCATCCAATCGACTTACTCGAATAGCTCTTATTGCAGCTTTACCCCGCAGCCGAATCTTCGGCACCTCGTCATTGAGTTGTTCGTCCATGCTGGTCGCCCCACCTCACCCAACAAAGCCCCAGAGCTCCAAACCGATCATAAAACAGAAAATCGCTAGAATTGCAGTGCTTACTGAGACAACCTGCTCGCCATGGCTGGGTCACACGGCTGCCACACAAGTCACCGTCCTCCTCCTCGTTTCCTCAATCTTCCTCCACACATGGGCATCACGGACAAACGCGGACACAGCTCGCGACAGCCCGTGCGACTTCTACATACTCGTAGATTGCTCCAGAAACACACTCAATCCGGTCCGTTCAACTCAATCCTGCCACAATATCGGCAACCGGACCATCCACAATCTGCTGTCGGTGAGCACCACAAGAAGCTGCTGGACGGAAAGCCATCGCCACGGGACGAGTTGCTGCACTTAGAAAGGCAGGCCAAACCAGCGCTGAAAGTGGAGGACACTTTAAAAGCACGCACGAAACGAATATATTTAAAGTACTCGACATACTATATTGAGCTGCCTGCAGCTTTATTGTCAGGCCCCAGCCAGTCTTTTACTGGTATGCTACTTTTCTCTTTTGGTATACAAAGTATTATAAGGGCATAGATATCAAATGCTTATGTTTCTGAACAATTTGTTAAATTTGTAGTTTCAAATGTTATTCGTAAGGTTGTTGGTATAAACCTTGATTTTAAATAATATTTTCCTAGTAAAGATAAAATTATAATGCATTTTAATACGTATATATATATATATATATATATGTATATATTTAAAAAAAATAGGACGAGATAACTATAATAAATTTTATTGTTTTACAAATATATTTTTTTCATTTTCATTTTAAGTGATATAATTTCAAGTTGATTTATGTTTATTTTTAAATATTTCCATTGTACAGGTTCTAGTCAATTATCACATTATAAAACATGCTTAAATTTTGATCTGTTATTTTATTAAATCCATCTTTTAAAACTAGATCGTTTTATTTTATTTTCTTTTATTTTAAAATTAAATATACATTTTTTCACTTCAAAGCTTAACATTCAATAACACAAAAATTCACTTGAGTGTACATCTTTTGGTTTATTGATTTTTAGAATCAAAAACTTCTCTGCTCAATTGTAAATCTAAAAAGTTACCGATTTTGCAAACTATACCATATTTCTAAACTTTGTTTCAAACTCTCCATCAAGTTTCTCAATGATGATATTACACTAAAATATTATTAAAATATTAAATATTACAATACTTTACTCCACTTATTATTGCTCAATAGTATACTTCACTGGTCTACACCATATCACATTACACAACATACTCCGAATTTTTACTAAACTTTGTGCAATTTCATCCATTTCAAAATTTCCTCACATTTACAAATACCATAATTTTGAAAAATATATATAGTATTAAAAAAATCTGAGGAAATTTTGAATTGTAAATAAATCTTCGATTTGCATATGATTGGTGACACTTTATATTTTAAAAAACAAAAAACCAAAAAAAATTGCCTTCTGATTGTGATTTTTTGCACAATATCATTATCGTAATTGGACTGCACTGGTAATAATCAATTAAAACGAGTAATTAGTAATGCACTCAGAATACAACTTGACATGTCTTAATTCTGATGCATGTTTATGTAGCTCCAGGATCAAACTCCGAAGTATTGCTGTATGTTGTAGTTGAGGTTCCCAAGTTTTCCAACGAATCTTCTCTTTCTTTGTGTAACCCTGTTATCATAAATCTCAATGACGGCCAAATGCATTCCACCAATAGTGTTCAATTTTTACTGAATTTTGAAGACTTTAGGTTATGCAGCGTAAAACGGCGGCTGACCTTTAATGGAATCAAGCTCCATCGACAGTACGTAAATAGTGGCTTTGTCGAGGTCAAGGAGCACGTGCATTAACCTTCAAACAGGATACGAACATAATTTAAAATGTATAATGAGTTGAGCTGGCTATGCTTCTTATAACAATGCCCAATGAAGGTAGCTCGAACTTCTGATTAAAATTAAATGATATGGTTTTTTGTTGGGGAAGATTGTGTCTTGATGCGGGAATAAGATTTCATATGTTCCAAGGAAATTTTCTTGTAGTATCAACACTATATTCAAAGTGCGGATACAGCAGAAGGCAAGTGCATCGTGCATACTGTCAAAATTACACTGATCTGAGAAGTTTAGGTACTGTAAGCCCCTTTTGTCGCTTTGAATTTGAATCTTTCGGGGGCGAATTCGCGTCTCATCCAGAGTGGCTGTGGACTTACTTTTAAACTTACGTTCAGTTTTTGTCCATGAGACTATTAGACCATGGACTAAAACTAATATTTTTTTTCATGCTCAGCAGCACATGCGGCACAGAATTCTGAATGCGGGACTGAGGCCGAATTCCTCCCGTCCATGTATCAATGGATCCATAGTATCTACAGAACCACCCCTCGCAGTAGCATCCGCATGCGACTTACTTTTTTAAAACGACGTGGGATATGATAAGCGTAGATGCAGTGTTTCCAGGATGGATGGAAATTTGCGAGCGGCATTCCTGATTCGTTACCCCCGCTGTGTTGATCGGATTACTTTGTTGCCCCTCCTGACTGTTGTTAGGCCTGGTAAAACCTCCCCTTGCTTGACTGAGTTCGCTCCTTTGATCGGTTTGTAATACAAGTCGCTGGAGTATGTGCACCCCCCATTCCCAAGCCTTCCTCGCAGACTCACATTCTCAGAATCTATGCAAGATTGATTCTTGTATTCCTTTAAGGCACACGGGACAGCACTTGTCTATGGCAACACTTACTCGGCCCTCCAAGCATTCACCGCCACGGCTTTGTGCAAGGTTGCCCATAACAGTCCCACTTCTTTACGGACGCATTCTCTGTCCGAGAGATTTGCCCATCTTCCCGGATCCCAGACTAGTCTAACTCTTCTGCACCACAGCAGCGAGGCATTCTTACCCCTCTCTTTTACTGTTGATATCACCCTGACTATAACCAGCCCAAAAGCATATGTTGCGTTCTGCTCTGTAATCCCCGACCTTTGATTTTGTCGTGCACGACAGGCTTGGGGCATTTCAATCAGGGTATTCAACTTGTGATTCAGAGTGTATACCTTGACGTTTAATGGGATCTGGACTTCTCTGGAGCTCAACTCGACATGGTGGTCTGGTGAGCTCTGCCATACCACCGTCGGCAATAGGTCCTCGCTTCGAAACACCCAACTCCATGGCTTTCAGTTTGTGTTCCGAGGCTGTAATAATCTGAAGCCAATGTTAACTGAAATTAGCTACTAACAACTCCCACAGCTCATTTGCTGTTAGTTTGAATTTTAATTGTGCTTCAGTGAGTGAATGATAAAAAGGCACTACTTTTCCATACGTCTTAGTATTTTTGTATTCCTAAGTTATGTAGTTCTATTGCTCTTGCTTTTAGAGAACCTTAGTCCAATGGTAGTAATATCCGGATGATGCCACACACTACACTTAAGTCTCCCATCCCGATATGTTGGAAAAAGGTTTATTATATGTGTGAAGAGAGTCTTCCATGCCATAATGACCTTATTCCATATCAAAGATCCCTTCTTGCTTTGATGTTTAGGCTTAGAAAAGTATCAAGGATATGAATTTCAAAGACCTAAAAAATCAATATAATTTTGTGTCACTCAAAAAGATTAAAAAATCACTCAAAGATGGTATTATATTAAATTAAAATGACTAATGTTAAAGAAAAAAAAATTAAAAAGTTTTGAAATAAGAATAATGATTAGAAAGGCATTGATAAGAGTGAAGAAGGCTTCAATCTTGCTTCTATATATATTATCTAAATAGGAGTTTCATGGCAACATTCTATAGGACCTCCGACGTGTGTCTAACTTGCAAGATATATATCTAACTTATAAGAAAAGTTTCATGTATATATGCCATATAATTAGCTTATTCTACAAGCTACTAATATATACAACATGTGACTAACTTGTTGTCTAACTTCATAGATTTGATATTATTTGATGGAAAAGCTTCTTAAAAGCTTTATAGAGGCATATTTGACTTTATTTGTATTTGTAGTTGATTGGTAGGTTAGAAACTTAGCCAACAAGTTAGCAACGTGTCATATATGTTAATAGCTTGCAATAGAAGCTAACAATGTGGCGTGTATATAGAAAACTTGCTTTATAAGTTAAGACATATGTCTCACAAATGAACATGTATTGGAGGTCCTATAGAACATCGTCATATAATTTCTAATTAGATACTATATATGGAGGCAAGAATATAATCTTATTAATTCTTACAACATCTTTTTAATTTTTAGTCTTATTTTAAGACTTTCTAATCTTCTTGACTTTGATAATAACTATTTTAGTTTAATATTATATCATATTTGAGTGATTTTTTAGTCTATTTTAGTGACCCAAGAATTTATTGATCTTTTAGTTCTTTGAAATTTATGCCCTTGATAATTTGACAACAGTGTTAACTTCTTCTTTTTTTGTTTGACAACAGTGTTAACTTGACAACAGTGTTAACTTCTTCTTTTTTTGTCCTATCACCTTCAGTGTTCTAAAATGTTCCTAGGTGGTGGATTCTACCTAGATAAATCGCCCTAAGCCTTTTCTAGAAGGTTCTATAGTCGGATCTATCTAAATAATTGTCCTAAATTCTTTCTAAAATATTCCACGGTGAATTCTACTTGGTCCATTAACCAAATCTCTAATTCTAGAAACTTCTATGGTTCTAAATATTTATACAATTATCTTATCTATACTCTTTTATAATTAATCCCCCTCAACTAACACAAAACATCCTCGTTTTGCTCTCGATGGTATCTCCAAATTGTCTCTTGGCAATAGATGAGGTTTTGTGCACATTCCTATATTGTATCATAAATGGGATAACCTTTTCAAAGAACTTCATATTGAAATTGTCGACATCCACTGCCTCGATGAAGGTAGCGATGCTTGAAAATGCTATCTACTTTATATTCTTGTTGGTCATTAATTACAACTAGTGGTGGTAGTAGTGATTGATGTAGATCCGAAAAGTGCTTTGGCTCGATATGAAATTCCTTTAGTTGCGAGACATAGAAGACTAGATAGACTCGAATATATGACAAAAGCTCAAAGAGGTATGCGACATCAAAAATCATTGTAGAAATGTAGAAAGGTTCAAGCCACTGAGGTGCTAATTTATAGATTTGGATTGATATAGCAAGTGGCAAGTTGGCATTGGAAAAAAATACTTGATCACCTTTTCAAAAGGTCTTGTATTGCTGATGATTATTCGCATATTGCTTTTATTAATTTTGTGTAATAAAAAGGTAATGTCGTGCCTCTTGTAATGTCATTATAAGCCATTGTATAAATTCCTCTATTGTTAGGTTTTTAATATTGATGGGACAATGGAGAGTTGCTGGTATAATTGGATGTTGACCAGTATTAAGAAAAAATGGTGAA